CTGAATGATAAATCCCATGTCTGTGCTTCTCCACAGTGCCTTTTTTCCCCCATGGTGAGACTTAGCTTTTGGGGTTGTGCTAGTGAATTGTTCAGTAACTTCTTCATTTTCATCTATGGTCAGATTTACTTAGAAGGTTACAGCGTGGGCAGTTCAGTAGCTGAAGTTGACACATCTCTTCAATGAACCCTGCTCGTGTTCCACCTAGTGACAGCCACTTCTTCTCATTTGTAAGTGCCCCATAAAGTGAATACAAAACCAATCGCCAGCAATCACTTTCAGGCAAGCTCTTAATATTTTATGGCAAAGTTCTATGCACAGTCTCTTCATCTCCCTTTAAAGCTGGAATTGAGATTCTCCCCCACCCCCGCTCAGTGTGCTTTCCCAAGTCATTTACTACTAAATAAAAGGGAGGAAAAAAAGTGAATTGAAATATCATTAGCAGTTGCCAGAGTACAATGTTGAGAACTTTGATGCTTCCATGTAATTCCGAGTCATTGACCGATTGTAAAGAAGATTGAGTGTGGAAATGTCAGGGCTTCTGTTTAATATTTTATTAGCCTGTGCTACTGTTCGGAATTTATCAGTATTTTGTTGATTGTGCTTTGTGCTCCTGTCTTTATCAGAAATATCGGGGCAGTAGTAACCTTTGCCTGCATACATGCTCTGAAGAGGCAATCTTTTGCGATTTCCCCATAATTAAAAATATTGCTGTCGCTGTTTTAACCTTGCTGGTGATTTTTATTGTCGTTATTAGATGATATGAAACCACATGTGAACTGGAGTCATGACCCCAGAGACTGAACAGGGAGTGCTTGAGTAGTCTTAGATATCCAGCACCCGTGAGAAACCAAGTATACTGTGTTAAAGAGCCTATTGAAAACTCAGGATCGTATTGTATAAGGAAACAGTTTTAATCCTCGTTAAAATAATACGGTGGGATAGCTGTGAGTGGGAGAGGTTTATTTTGTCTCCCAAGGTGGTTTGGCCTGTCAGCATGAGGATTTCATGAGACTAAAGCAGGTGAAATAACTCAAGTTACAGTGTGAATGAGTGCCTTGTTTATTCCTTCTTTTCTTTTCATTAGATTTTCTTTCCTTGTTCTTTAAATCTTCTGTGTGTGTATATGTGTATATGCTATAATTTGTTTCCTGTTTTGGAAATGTATGTCTTGCTGGTTTTTTTAACTAAGATGTTAACCATATTTTTTGTTATTTACTTCCATGTTAAAATTCCTGCTAACATCAGCAGGAAACTAAAGCCAAACCTTGCTTAAAGCCAGCACTGATCGCCAGAATGTTAATTTTTTTTTTTTCTTAGCAGCTCTGAAACCTTTTTTTGGGGGTGGACTAGATATGTGAAATCCCTCCCTGTGGAGTGAATGATGACTATGTAACACTTGTTTTGGAAACTCCAGCAGCATATTTATATTACTAGCTTCCTTGCTTAGTGAACTATAAAATACAGACCACCATGTTTGGAAGCAGGCGTGTGTATAAGCGCAGGCAGCTGGGACAAAATGAAAATGTGCGACAGCTAGGTGATACTCCCCCAAGAGTGCTAGAAGAACTTGAATGAAATAGCTGAAGTAACAGCTGGTACATCTTGGTTTCAGCCAAGAAGCTTGTGGGGGCTGGCAGGTGTGATGATTTTAAAACAAATCATCAAATAAAGGAAAAATGAAAAAAGCAGCTCCAGGAGAGAATGGGAATTACAGGCCAGTCTTGTAGAAATAATGATTGAGACTAGCATTGATAAGCACCTTGATGAATATGATATACCAGAGTAGTGTCAGTATGGCTCTTTGAAAGGAAAACATACTTTTTGGAGCTCTTGGGAGAGATTAGCAAGCATACAAATAGGGTGATCTGGGAGACACAGTCATGATTTCCAAACATCTTTCAACAGGTTTCCTTATCAAAAGAAATCAAGCAGCCAGGGTTAAGAGGGAAGGTCCTTACATAGGTAAAAAAAAAAAAAAAGAATAAAAGTACGGTAAATGGAGGGTAGGGTTAGATGACTGATTTTTCCTAGCAGAGGCAGGTCTTTAGTGGAGATAGATCTGCAAGGATCAGGGCTTCTCAGCGTGTTGTAAATGATGAGGAAAGAAGAGGTAAGAAGTGAAGTGGCATTGCAAACGCAGCACTTTTATTCAAGATAAATAAGATAAATTGTTTCTACTATGAGGATTTAAAAGGACTGTGTGGCACTAACTGGGCTTGGAAATTGCAGATATGTGAAATAATCCTCATGGTAAAAATGATCTTGTAATCATACGTCAGATAAGGTCTGAGATAACTCACTGCTCAGGAGTTGAGTTTTGAGGTTGTTATAGTTGTCTGGAAGTATCTCCAACTTCTGTAAGCTAACTAGAAAAGGTATTAGATGTTGTGAATTAAAAAAACAGAGCATCATAGGTGCAGCATGGATTTATGGAAAGGGAAGAGAAAGGGGTCAAAGGATCCAAAAGTTTTACAATTTTAAAATGAGGGAAGGGGTCATAAATAACAAGGGGAGAAATGTAAGCAGAACCACTGATGTTGGAGGAGCTGGAAGAGGGTCTATAGTGAATGTATACCTCTTGGTGCAGCAAAGGCATGGGTGGAAAAAAACGCACTGTCTTCCATACAGAACCCCCCTGGGGTTTTAATGCTTCTTTGGAACAGGAAACAAGGAGGCAGGTTTCTGACTTTTTTTTTTTTTTTTTTTTTTTTAAAAAGGGGTTTTTTGGCTAAGGGGAGAGTATGTGCATGTATGTGGATACATGTCTAAGGAGTATAGTCAGAAGAGCTGCAGGCTCACCAGGGAGCAGGACGGTGCAAGGTGTGTTTCAGACTGCACAAACACCATGGCTGTATGGAGCTGGTAGTACAGAGCCAATCCTGTGTCTGTACTGAATTCTGGCTTATCTGATCAAGGCTTATCTGATCAAAGTTTGAATCTACAGGCAAGTCCCCCAGTTAACCATTTTTCGGTTGCTTCAGAATTTAGGTTGGAGCGGAGGAAACGCCTCCTTTTCAGGCCAATCAAGATGTGCCTTATCTGTGGGTAGACTTTACTGGCAGCTAGAGTGTGGCCAGACACCACCTCTTGTCTCACGAAAGCTAAATGTGTATTTACATCTGCTAGAATAATTGACCTGGGCTTCTGAGTGCCAGTTGGAGATGGTCCCAAAAAGACATCATCCTTCTCTGGAGCAAGGGGCAGGTTTTCATATTGGCTGATGGTTTCTTGTGCACCAAGTCAGCTCTTATCGTTCCTTTGGTTGACCAATGTGTAACCTTTTGTTGCACCAACTGTTTTCATTTTAGGCTTTGTTTGTGGTATGAAACAGTGGCTTAATTTGCTGGCCTGTGTGCTGAGGGAGTGTAATCTTCTTTTTGACTAGTTGGTATTCTCGAGAATTAGTAATAGCAGTAGTCCTGCTTATAATTTGGACTAATAAATTGTGGAGGGACAACTGTTTTCCTCTGACTGAATTGCTGTCTTCAGACTAAACTTTGGTAAATGCTGATGTACCTTCCAAACAGTTGAACCATATTGGGAGGCGGGGGGAAGGCAGTATTTTGCTATCAAATTATGATTCTTATTCTGGCATGATACGCAGTTAAAAGCATTGGTGGTCGTAGAGGTAGGCAAGAAACACTCCTTAAAGTCCTGCACTGGTGGTGGTGTGCTAGGGAGGGAAGCAGTTTGCGTGTTAAATCAATTTGCTTGTGTAGGCAATCCTGTGGTTGTAGCTAGGTCAGAGGGTGGTAGGGGTTTACTGTAGTTTCTTAATGTGCCAGTAAGTTTGTACTTAGACTTAATTTTCATCTTGAAACTGAATTGTCACTTATCCTTTATTACAGCAGTCAGAAAAGGTTTTTGATCCTCAAATCTAGCAAAATTAATGCTGAAAACTTTAAAACTTTCCAGGTCTAAAATGATGATAATGTGGGGGCTTGTCTTTGCTGCACTTTGCATTAATTTAGGCAGAAGCTTATTAAGAAGACTTAAAAATATCTGTTGATTAGCTAAAGAAAAAGGGTATGTTTTAATAATAAATCATTGGTCTTTGTAAAGTGAATTGTGTCCTGGATGATCTCACTTAATAGTTCATTATGCTTTGTCCATTCAGGTACTTTTTGTGTCTGCCAGGGAACAACCAAAAAAAAAAAAAATTAATGACTCTAATCAATCCTATTTAAACGCAGCTCAGCATCCTGGGAAAAGCTGTTATAGTATAGCCGTAGGTTTGTACTAAAGCAAATTTGTGAAACTTGTAGTAAAAATTTATTTGGTTAAAAGGAACAAAAGTGTCTCAGGGAGTTTTTCCAAACAGCCCATGATGGGGGAATGGCTATGTGTATTTGCAACGGATCTGTGTTAACAGAAATAATGAGTTACTGTGACATCCTCGAGCCTTCCCATGTGCTGACAGTGGAAGAGGACTCTCTCACATCCAGTGAAGGGCTTGACTTGGTTTGTATGTTAACAAAGCCTTGCAGCTGGCTTGGTGATTTGCTGCCCTTCTCTCAAATTCCTGATGGGAGGGCACAGTGCTGTTGAAAGTTCTTATATTTAATCCAAAACCTGTATATTAACTGTAGCATGGTCACTGGATCTTTCCATACCTGGGAAGAGCACAAGTGACTAGGCTCACACAGAGTTGGAGAGTTGTACTGAGTATATGGACGCATACTATTAATCTGTCTCTTGCTTTTGTTTACCGTATTTATATTAGACTTTAGCTGTAGCCTAACTACATTTATTACAACTTCTTACATTTTATGTAAGAGCCAATACCTTCAGCTGGGACAAAATTTAGGAAGCTTGGGTGCTTTAAAAGAAGTCTGTAATATACTGAAATTTCCAAACAGGTTTTTATCAAGTATTGGAGTAAAACAAGTTCAAAGTCTGTTTCTTAAGCCTTTGTTGCTGACAGCTGTGCAATATGTTGGTATGTTTGTTTTAAAGCACAGGCTCTTGCTCATCCTTTGTGGTTTTTTCTTTTTTAGTTCAAAACCCATTTCTTCACCTTTGATTGTACAAGTTGGACATGCAGAGACCCTTCAGCCGCTGCTTGCCCTTATGGGTTTCTTCAAAGATAATGAGCCTCTAAAGGCAAACAACTATGTCAGACAAACGCATCGGAAATTTCGCAGTGGACGGATTGTGCCTTATGCAGCCAACCTGGTATTTGTGCTTTACCACTGTGATCAAGTGAAAACCTCTAAAGAAGAGTATCAAGTGCAGATGCTGCTGAATGAAAAACTGATGCCGTTTCATCATTCAAATGAAACTATCTCTACTTATGCAGACCTCAAGGACTATTACAAGGACATCCTGGAAAACTGCCACTTCCAAGAAGAGTGTGAATTACCAAAAGTTAATATTACTGCTATTGATGAACTTTGAGGGAATGAAGTGGAGTGGGTGTTCTGCAAATTGATCTCAGTTCTATTCGACAGACATTGTGAACAAGCACTTTTGATGATTGCTGCTGCTGTGTTGACTTTCTAAACTTGCAGATTTGATGGCGTTGTCTCAGTTAGCTCAATGCACTGTTTGCTTATTACATAAGGAGAATTACAAATGCTGTAACAGGGACATTGCTGAGCATTTGTAACAAACACATGATGCAAGATGAAGCGTACCTGTATTGTTTATATGTATGAATAAGTAATTTCATTGGTCACTTGTCTTACAAATGTGCTGTAGATGGATTTAAGAGCTGGGGCAACTTCTCTTTTATCAGAGCTGAAGGTGTTTGGACTGATTCAGTATTGTTTTGCACTGCCTGTTTTGCTAGCTACTCTTTTCCTGTGGCAGGCATGAAATAATTCAAAACTGTGAGCTTTTTTGTTCCTTTTCCTGAGCTTCTAGGAGGGAGAGGGTACATAGTCCTTCTCCACAGCTGCCCAACTTCTTCCTGGACAGCACCATGGCAACATCTTTTTCTTGGGCATTTAAAGCAGAAGGAGTTGCAGTGTTCCTGCATGCATTATCTACCTGAAAAGGGTCCAGGACTTAAAAGTCTTAGTCATCATCAACCCATCCCGCATAGCAAGTTAGCCTCCAGGGTAAGTAAATTACCTTTAAAAAAAAGTAAAAAAAAAAAAAAAAAAAAAGTGAGGGAGTGGGAAGTAGTTAGTCTTCTTTTAAGGTGCTCTGGGAGATGCAGCAGTTGTTCTCTAGGTAATCTGGTGTGTCCTTTCACTTGACACCATCAATTTCTTGTGTTAAATGTTTGGGCTGGAGCATTCAGGTTAGGCTCTACTGTGGCTATGAACATCGTGGCCCTGTCTGGGTGCTGATACTTTTCCTAGCAGCTCTGGTTGGAAGGGACCTCTGGAGGTCTCCAGTCCAGCCTCCTGCTTGAAAAGTGATTGTTGCTAATCTTAAATCCTGGCAGGTTTTGGACTATAAAAAGTATCTGGTTGAGACTTGACTTCTGCCAGCTTTAAGGCACCAAACATGGTATCACTTATGTAGGCCTTATACATTGAATGTGCCACCTTGTTCTTGAAATGAAGCTGCTTTTAAAGAAACTAATTGTATACAAGTACTGATGATCTTTTAAAGCAGCTGCACTTGAAATAGGTTCACTCGCTACTGAAAGTTGGGAAATATTTTAGAACTCTGCAGTGTGGCAGAAAAAGGAAAAATGAAGGTAATTGTCCAGAAATGTCTGAAATGCAGTCAGGTAAAAATTCCTTCATCCACAAGAAGGGAATGGCTGTATGAACAAGTTGCCCCAAAGCAAATGAGAGTGTGGATTTATGGTGCTGGTAGCTCTTGAACTGTATACTCACACCCTGTAATGAGTGTTCCAGAGCTCACCCCATAAAGTGAGGTGTAGTTTGCTGTGTTTACTGAGGAAGGGGTGAAAAGTTGGTTTAAGTGGTTACCACAGGGTATCAGGTGTGCTATAAACATTTATACCCTCCTTTGCTGCAGGGTGTCTTCTTTTCGTAGGCTCACCTTCAGAACTGGGAACTTAACTGCTGCAAAAACAGGAAAGAGAAAGCCAAACTGGCTCAATGTTGAGGAGTTAAACTTGGTGTATAATTTTTTAAATTTTTCTTGAGGACTTAGGCTTCTGTCACTTTTATACAAGCCATATTAAAAAAAAGCACTTAAGGTTTACATATCTAAGTTATAGAGCAACTGAAAACCTGGGTTTTACTGTTGTACTCCAAGTTAAGGGCTTTTCCTTACGTTGGGATATAAGGCCCTGTTTTGTTAGTGCACCGATTTCTGTGTTGACAAAGGTTCTGATCGCTAAAGATACTAATTAAAACTGGTGGATATTTCAGCATTAACATCCTGGTGAAATACTTGCCTGTGTTAGCTCTGCAGCTCTTTTTCTGAAACTGCTGAAATTGTTAGGGAGGAATATTGATGCTGAAACAAATGTAGGAATATAGGTCAGGATAACTGTCAGACCCAGCATATGACTTCTACTGCTGTATGAGCTTTGCATTTCTTTTTTTACATGATCCTACCTTGAGACTAAGTCAACTGATCATAATTACTGTGACAGGTGCCTGTTAGGAACTTGTTGCAACATTTGAGGCAAGCTACAAAGAAATGAACCTTTGTTTAAAGGCAGTTAAGTTTGGTAAATAGCAGATAGAAGAGTGAGAAAATGTACCTTTGAACAAATATTTTTTTTCTGGGAGTCAGTAATCCTGTGATGATTCATGATTTGAACAGAAGGGATGAAAGCCTGACTATTGGGGATGAATGGAGGATTTCTGTTGTCAGTTCAGTGAGACTGATTTTAAGTCACTGTGTTTGTTAAAAGATACATCCTTCTTCCATATGGAGGAGGAATACGTTGCACTTGACTGCTTTTTTGATCCTGTGTCAGATGAGGTGGGGGAACAAAAAATTGCTTTTACAGCGAAGCATCATTTGCTTCTGCATTACCAAGTTGATTGTATGCTTAAATTCTGTGTGAAGGGCTTCAAGGATGACTCTTCAGAGGCTGTTCCCTATTTTGCCTTGGAGTACAGGTCCATCATACCTCCAGAATAACAGATATATCTTCAGTGGCTGTCAGCAATTAACTGAAAAGGAAAATGTGCTATTTGGTTTCTAATCTGTATTTAAAGGATACGCTGACTCACTCCTTTGGCAGAATTAGAGGCTGGATGTGGAAACTTTGCACAATTGTAGCAATAGAAGTGTTTGAACATGTAAATATTCTAGGCACTTGTTCATGTGACTTATTCTTACCATTAGGGAGGTGACTTCAGTATGATCCTTTTATCTAGTAAATATATAGATTTGCTTATATACTAAAAAGGAAAACTAAAATGGATCAAAGTATTTCCATAAAGTTGGGCACTAGCTCAGTGAGCAGTGCTTGAACAAGCTGCCATATCTCATGGCATTGCAGATTACCATCTCCTGAAAAAATCCTGCAAGAAAAATAATGCTTTCTCTTCTTTCATGTGGCTTTGGACTAAATGCCTCATCTCAGTCATCCGTTGAGGACTTTGTTTGCAACCTTTCTCAAACTGGAAGCTTTCACTGATGAAAAATACTGAAAGTGTTTGTGGATGCTAGCCTTAAATACATTTGAAATGTGTTTTATTTTGTTAAATGCCTAAAGCTTAACTAATCATTCTGGCAAATTCATTTTTTCCTCCTAGTTAAGTACTGCTGCTGTAATTCTGGTGAGCACCAAGCTGTCAAATTGCTGGAAGCAATGTGAATTTGTAATAATATGGTACTAACTGGATGAATTTTGAGAACTTGTTTTGGATTTTTAGTGCTGTGAAATAAAACTGCACACTTTCCTCATCTCTGTTTTTATAAGCAGTAATAATGACATGATCTTTAGTATAATGGCTGTGTTCTGCTTCAAAATACATTTGGTAGGTTACTGTTACTTACACTGGTGTCTCTGATTATTTTAAGTTCTCAGATTGCTTGGTGATTGATACAAAATGCCTTAATTAGGTTTTTACACACATTTTGATGTGGAAAAGTTTACTCTCATTTCCAGCAGCCCTGGTTTTAAAAACAGTGATAGCTTCCTGACCAGGTTTTTGCAGATAATACTATAGTATGCAAAATGTCTGGAAACGTCCTGCATTTTGAAGTGTACTGAGGGTTACATACATGTTTTTGAGCAGTCCAGAATCTGCTGCAGTATTATTTTTCTAAACATTATCACTTTCTCACTAAGAGATTGACACTGTTGATTTGATAAAGAATTAGAAGCATACATCATGCAGTACTTTCTAACCTGTCATTTCTTGTAGATATTTAGAAATAGATGCTAGTTATTGAGTATCCATTAGCTACTTAGTTTGTTAATTCTCTGATTACTTGTACCTGAAAATTAAGTCTTGCCTGCAGCGTCCTCATGCACTGAGGATGCAGCGCTTTTGTAAGTGTGCTGTGGCTGGAATGGCATAATTTTTGATCAAGGGCTGTTTATTCCTTTTTGGAAGTATTTAAGACAGAGTGAAATAGAAGACAATTGATGCTGTTTCGTTTAAAACAAACAAAAAACCCAGAACTGTGTAGTCATAGGAAAAGGAGTGAAATGTCTCAAATTCAGATACCAAAATTATGTATAACCTTCTAGGGGAAGAACATGATCACCACCATTCCCCTGCCCCCCCTCCTTTTTTGTATGTATAATATATTAAATGGTCATTTTGTTAGTTGTTGTTGTGGTTTAACCCCAGCCAGCAACTAAGCACCACGCAGCCGCTCACTCACTCCCCCCTCTCCCCCCCAGTGGGATGGGGGAGAAAATTGGGAAAAGAAGTAAAACTCATGGGTTGAGATAGGAATGGTTTAATAGAACAGAAAAGAAGAAACTAATAATGATAACACTAATAAAATGGCAACAGTAGTAATAAAAGGATTGGAATGTACAAATGATGCGCAGTGCAATTGCTCACCACCCGCTGATCGACACCCAGTTAGTCCCCGAGCGGTGATTTTCCCGCCCCCCCCACTTCCCAGTTTCTATACTAGATGTGACGTCCCATGGTATGGAATACCCCGTTGGCCAGTTTGGGTCAGCTGCCCTGGCTGTGTCCTGTGCCAACTTCTTGTGCCCCTCCAGCTTTCTCGCTGGCTGGGCATGAGAAGCTGAAAAATCCTTGACTTTAGTCTAAACACTACTGAGCAACAACTGAAAACATCAGTGTTATCAACATTCTTCACATACTGAACTCAAAACATAGCACTGTACCAGCTACTAGGAAGACAGTTAACTACATCCCAGCTGAAACCGGGACAGTTGTCTAACTTTTCAAAAGGAAGTTAGTATTATCAGATGTTAGTTTGCAGTTGCTGGTATGGGAGAAGTAATGGTTTATCTTTGAATTGTTAAATTCTTGCTTTCTTGGGCTTTTAAGTTACAGACTATTTCTCCTGATTGTCAGTCATTTCAAACCTGTCCATCCCAAGAACTGACCTTACTGGACTGCAATGAAGGTGTCTAGTGTCCTCCACAGTCTTTGAAGGATAGACAGTTAGGGACCATCAAAAGAAGAATTATATACAAATGCAAAGAGTAAGCATTGGTAAGCCCACCAAAGCATGGTGCCAGGACTGGGTGAGCCTGGAGAGTTCATAACTTTAAGGTTTCTGGGGAGATTATTTTTTTTCCCCCACCCATCCTCCTCCTATGAATTTGTTGTCTTGAGGCCAGCTGCGCTTGCGTCACCCATGTTGTCGTGTGATGGTGAGGCCATGCTTTGATTTGTGCATGGTGTAGTGGGTTTCTTTGTTTTTGAAAGTCCTGGTCTGTGTTTTGTGTTGTTTCGACCAATGGGTGTGTGGGTGTGTTTTGTCTTTGGTATGCTGCCACCTTCATCTTCGTCATGAAGACTCAGCAACTCCTGTGTATCCAGTTCAGCTTTTGAGTGCTGTTTTTCTGCCTGATTTCTCAGGATTTGTGGTCCAGTAAGTAGAAAACTATTTCTAAATGGCTTTGTTTCTGATGTTGACAAAGTTTTTGAAGAGGGTTTTCATTGACTGTGAAGTATATGCCATGCCAGAGCTAGGTTCTGCTTCCAGACCTGATACAGCTAGATGTTTGTAAAGGCTTTTTTCCCCCTCCCTTATTTGCTTCCAGAAGTGGAAAATGAAGATTATAAGTAGATTAACCTGCATTTATGTTTTTTTTTCCAACTTAGTTCAATACTTTAAAGAGATATTTTTACTTAAAATCAAGACAGAGGAGGCAGGGATGTTCAGGCTGACAGCATGTGGTCTTATGTTGATAGATTTGGGTTTTTTTTAAAACAATTCCTTTGAAAAAGGGTTTAAAGCAAGCATTGTTTTTCTGACATTCCGTTGAAAGGTTTGAACACACCTTACTGTGTTTAATTAACAAAAAAAATTGGTGTTCAGGGAAGAGATTATTGTTGAAGGACTAGGATGGAAGGAGTTAGCTGAATTGATGATGATGATGATGATTATTATTTAGGGGTCAGAAAAGCTCTGCAGACTTTTCACGCTACTGACCTGTAGCTCTCAAACACTTCACTGGATGTGACGACAAATCCTGAACCTGTTACAGAAACAGAAGGTGCACAGCTGATCCTGGGAAGCAAAGTATGCACCCCAGAAAGACCCACCAGGTTGGATCAGGCTGAAGGTCCTTTAGCCTGGTGACCTCTGGCTTTTGGTAGGACGTGGTACCTAAGCAAATGTGTAGGGATAAAGCAAATATTTCCCCACACGCTCCTTATTACCGGCCATTTGTGGCTACAGGATTTTCTTGAGTTAAGGAAAACGGGTTTGCGTTTAGCTTTATATATAGCTCTTAATCAGTTTCTCTCCTACATGGCTTTTCTGTTGCTTTCCAAACCCAAAGCCTTAGATGTTGCCTTGCAATGGGATGTGGTGGATGCTGGAGCACAGCTGTAGGCTTTATGAAGGTCCAGCTCCTTTTGTTTCATTTGAAAAGGAGTGAAATGTATCTAAAATTAAGATACCAAAACCATGTATAATCTTCTAGGGTTTCAGGTTCCCACCTGCTAGACTGGAAATTCAGCCACGTTTCTAGGAGCTGTGATTAAAAACAGTAATAGCTTTCTGACATAGTCAATTAGCAGAAGTAGTTACCATAGACAAATGCTAAAGCTTGGCATG